TAACAACCCCGATTCTTTCTTTTCAATGGGCTTTTGAATCCTCTAATCTTCTTCTCCACCACCCCGGCTGGTTTTGACGCCGCATGGGCAGTCTTCATGGCTGCCGTAGTCGGAGCCGATTGATTACTCTTCGGCTCCATCCTATTGACCTCCAAATCACCTTTCGTCATACTCTATACATACAACCTCACCTTTTCCAACCCAATCGGTTTTCCCCTTGGCCAATATAGTCTCTCTCATTTTCTTTCCAATCAACCTTCATCCTTCACATAAACCCTAACCTAAACCTATCAACCTTTGCAGAGATTTACCTTCGGAATCTGGGTGCCACACTGGCCTATTCGCCAACCAAGTTGCCGCCACCCTTCCTGCCAAAATTGGCTTCTTCGCCCGATGAGGCGACTCTTCCGACTGCCCTTCTCGCCAAAATTGGCTCCTTCGCCCAATGTGGCGACTCTTTCGGCTTCAACATTGTCTTTGTCCCTTGCTCTAGGTTTCCCCTTCTACTTCTTGGGGTTAGAAATATTCTCACCAGAGCCAAGGAAGCATCGTCGCTAAGCAACAATCCCTCTTCATGGGTTAGACATATTCTCGCCGAAGCCAAGGCAGCATCGCCGCTGAGCGGCGATCCCTTTGCAATTTTTGATGGCCAAGAACGTAGGTCGTCTCATGTGTTAGATCTTATTCATTGTGATCTTTGGGGTCCTTCTCCCGTCAAATCAAATTCGGGTTGTTAGCATCTTCATGAAAAGTGTTTCTCAACCTCTTTGAATTTTTCAGATTCAAGCTTCACGTTCGTTTAAATCCGACGCTTAGCTTGCGGTGGGGTGTTAAGGATATTTAGCAATAAATTATAGTTTACCATATATATTATATTTGATATTTTATTATAAGACAAATATTAATATTTGCCTTATTATCATAGGTATCTTTCTATTTATTGTTATTTCCATTTATTACTATTTCCATATCCTTGTAATTTATTTGATTATAAATAAGATAACTTTCACACCATTTAGGTGTGGTGGATTAATTAAACATTCACACATCGCAACAGTCTTCTGCAACTTTTTTCTCTTTTAGAAGCAACGTCTCTCCATCAAACAAATCTATTGTTGCTACCAGGTGAAGGTTGTTCTATTCAGATTTTGGCAACAATAACGTACTTTTTTTTTCGTTTTTTTATCTTCTTCAAAAATTATAATTTTTTCAAAACTTTTGATATTATATTTGTTAATGGGTTGAGTTATATTGTGCAACGACCCAAAATTTTCTAATTAATTTAAGGTTGCTACGGTATACACATCATAAATAAGCTGCCCAATTAAGTAAGTGATCCCTATTGCATGTTCTTGCATTTAACTCCCAACAAGGAGTCACTCACTTAGCATTTTTTTAAAATACTCAAGTCACATGCTATCTTTATTTCAAGTTAAGGCAAAACATTCCTGTACGGGTGACGACGGCATCGCAACTCAAGACCATGGCACATGCATAGGGTAGTCACATTTATTTTCTTAATCTTAAGCTAGAATAGGATGTGTTTAATTTAAACATTTACTTATTTTATTTGGTCTTTTGTTGTGTTGTTTTAAAGGTGTTTTCAAAACACGAAGTCTATGGCTATGCTTTAAGCTGAAGTTATGTTTTATGAAAGTTTAAATGAAGTATTTTTGCATGCATGTTTATGATGTATATACAGTAGATAGCGACCTTAAATTAAGTAGAAAATTTTGGATCGTTATTATGTGGTAATATTTTTTTTTAAAAAAAATACACACACAAAATTAAATAAAGAATAGCCTTAAAATTTAGAGGGACACATAATTAAGAACTTTCAAGGGATAGGGATCTATTTGATTTTTATGCAATTTTTTTTATAAGATTTAAACTCAAATTATTGTGAGCATATTAAAATTCCTAATAAGCCTCCCTTCAAATTTAAAATAAAGTACATATTTAATTGATTAAAAAGAACCTAATTGTATGCCTACAAGTGGCTATTTATTTTTCTTTAATTAAAAGATAAAAAATACCTAATATAATTAAGCAACTAAAAATATGGTTGGTCTTGAAGTGTTTTCTCATTAATTGGAAATAATTATTGAGAAGATCTATAATCTTAGGGTTCATGTTTAGCTTGCAAAAGCTTGTTCTTCAAGCTTCTTCAATTTAATTAATTTAAAACTAAAACGTTCTTAATTTGACTTCTTTCACATACGTGCACAAAATTTGATTGTATATTTAGAAATAAGATATATAGTTGAATTATTCTTGATTAGAGAGGTTCATTTTACTTGCTAGAACTCACCTCGAACAGAGAGGAGATTCCTGGTTTAGATAGGGAATAAGGGAGGGAGTGGGAAACATTTTCTACCCGCTAGAAATGGGATTAGGGACGATATTATATTCTTCATCTCGTCGTCGTCCCAAGCTTACTTAATATAAATATATTGTCAACACATTAATATATATATATATATATATATATATAATTAATTAATTTTGAGACTATAATGATAATATTTATACTAAAAACTATGCTACATATTTTTTTTAATGGTTAAAAAATTATGATGTAATATTAAAATTTGAATTTTTAAAAAATTATATATTATTACATATTATGAAATATATTGATTTATTGAAAAAAAAAATTATAATGGTATTGAAAATGAATACTTTAAAATAACTCTTTTTTAAAAGAACATAAACTAAAAATATTACCGGTGATCTGCAAAAATAAATAAAAAATTTTATGGAAAAAGGGAAACGAAATAGATGGTGAGGATGGGGATGGCGATGGGGAAGGCTTCCCCATTCCCGCCCTCCACTCTATAGTCATCTCTTCTCCTCATCGCTAAACTAGAAGTTTTGTTTAAGATGCCTAGTAACTAGATAACTGGTAATGTTAGAATGGTATAAAAATTTCATATAAATAAATAATATTTTTGTTTGGTTCTGATCGTTACTTTCGACAATTTTATTATATTAGTTAGTTTTAGATAATATTTTTGTTTGGCTTTCCCTCGAGGCTTTAAAACATGTATCTTAGGGAGAGGTTTCTACTGTTTCATTCTCCTCTCCAAATGATATGAGACATCACTATCCACATCCCTTTAGGGCCCAATGTTCTCGCTGGCACTCATTCCTTTCTCTAATCGATGTGAGACCCACACCAAATTCACCCCCTTCGGGGCCTAGCGTCTTTATTGGCACACTGCCTCGTGTCTACCCCCTTCGAAAAACAGCTTCCTCATTGGCACATCGCCCGATGTTTGACTCTGATACCATTTGTAATAGTCCAAGCCCTACCGCTAGCAGATATTGTCTTCTATAGCCTTTCTCTCAAGACTTTAAAACGAGTCTAGTAGGGAGAGGTTTTCACACTTTTACACAATTTTCAGTCTCCTCTCCAACCGATGTGGGACATGACACCCACGTCGACAGATGTAATTGAGTTAATATATATAAACTACAATATTGGACAAATCCCATTCATTTTCATTAAATTGCTATAGATTTGTGTTGATGAAGCCTGTTTTGAGCTAGGTTCATTGGAAGTAAGGGAGGGAAAGAAATAAAGAAAGAAAAGGGTAGGCATGTGCATATGTATATATGATTGGAAGTGATATTAATGAGGGATTGTTCTTGAGTCTATTCGATATCACTAGTGGCCATGGGTAGCATTAAATTTGGGCTCATTAACCTTGTCGTTGTCCTCATCATAGTCATGCACACGGGTGTGCAGCAGCTTGGCCCTGTCATCGTTATCACCAACTTTTCTCTACACACACACATAATATTGCATGGCCTTTGAGTATATTTTTATATGTAAAAACCAACCCATGTGCTTTCATCTTTAGCCAGACATATCTTACATTTCTTTGTAATTAAATTGTCCATTTTGTTTCCCCAAAAGTGCTTTTTTCAAGTACTCAATCAAACTCCATGTTCGCTTCCATTTGGTTAAATCTCTTTTTCATATCACTCGTTAGGTATATTATATTTGTGTGAGATCCCACATCGGTTGGAGAGGGAAATGAAACATTCTTAAATGAAAACTTTTCTCTAACAGATGTGTTTTGAAATTATGAGGCTAACGGCGATATGTAACGGGCCAAAATGAATAATATCTACTAGCAATGAGTTTAGGCTGTTATAATCGGTATCAGAGCCAAACACCCAAAGGAGGTGGATTGTGAGATCCCAATATGTTGGAGAGGGGAACCATTTGAGAGAAACAAATAATTTCTTATAAAAGTGTAGTCTAATTTGTATAACTATTTTGATTTTTGGATTTTCAAGAGTCAAGTTTGTTCCATATAAGATAAATTTGTAATTTGAATACCTTTAGATAGATTTAACAAAATTTTAAGTCTATTTTTTATAACTATTTTCATTTTTGGATTTTCAAGAGTGAGAGTTTGTTCCATATAAGATAAATTTGTAATTTGAATACTTTAGATAGATTTAACAAAATTTTACTTCTAAATTTTGTTTTTACCAGTTAAGCATAATTCAACTTATTAAGACATATAATTTTGTGAGATCTCACATTCAGTTGGAGAGGAAAACGAAACCTTCCTCGTAAAAGTGTTGAAATCTCTTCTTAGTAGACGCGTTTTAAAACCGTGAGACTGACGACAATACGTAACAGGCCAAAGCGAACAATATCTGTTAGTTGTGGGTTTGAGCTATTACAGTCCTTGTGTGAAGATATCAGAAGATCGAATTTCTCATTTGAAAACTTAGTTTTAGTCATGAAACTTGAACTTAAAACAAAATGATTATCAAGTCGATTCTTACCGATTCTGAAACAAAGTCGATGTTTTGATTACGTTCTCAACTTTAACCTTCTTGATTAGATATATTTCATAAACATGGCTCAACTCATTGCAAAAACCACCTAGTTTAGTATATTCATTCCTCAAATTAGCTATCCACACATGACACAAACCCTATTATGAGTAGTAGAACATAACAAAGAAAGACATTAAGTCAAATTGAAACCAAATAATCAACTTTAGAAGCTTTGGACACATTTACAAAATGGATCTTTCTTCTTGTCTTTTGGTACTTAATCATTGCAAAACATCAATATTAAAATTGGAAAATATATATATTATATAACAAAGAAAAAAATAAACTTTAAATTCACTTAAAGGTATACTTTTTTCACCTGTACAATATCGAATACTTATGAATTTGAAATTCTCATTTGCAATTAGCAAGAAACCGCATTCCATCAACTTGAACTCGAAGAAATGATATGTAATCTAGGGCTTCATCAATCAACAAAGCTTCATCCTCCATAAACTCTCCCCCAGGAACCAAACTCCTTAGAACTTTGGTCCTTTTTTGAACCAATCTCTTAGCAACTGATCTTGCTACGGACCTCGACCTTGACGAGTGCGTGTGCCTCCTAGCCAATTTTCGACCAATCTTATGTAGCGTGGTCTTCCTTCGAAGCTTGGCCTCAGTTGGAGCTTGTATGGATTTGGCAATGATGGCTCGACTCCACCGAGTCGCTCCGTTTCTCGTTGCAGCCATGGCCAAGTCGGAGGAGGCTTTTATGGCCTTTTTTCTCTCTAAGAAGTTCATGGTTGTGTTTGAGAAGGTGATGGGGTTTAGACCCATGATCCATTTCTTGAGGAAAATTCGTTTGAGGTTGATGGGGTTGGGCATTTTGTTGAGGAAAGGAAGAAAGTAAAGGAAATATTGGATTTTTAAGAGGAATTTAGGGTTTAGAAGAGAGGTAGGGTTGGAAGAGAGAGAGAGAGAGAGAGAGAGAGAGAGAGAGGGAAGGATTGAGAGATTGAAGGGATGAGCTGAAAGGGGATTTTATGTGTGTTAGAGAAGAAAGGGTGGTGGGGCTATGAGAGAAAGACATAGCACATGGAAGCACATGGAGGAGAAGGCCCACCACACCCAAATCAACCCTAGAGACCATTGGAAAGAAATGTGGCTAGACGATTTAGATTTATAGTAAATGGAATAAAAATAAATGGTTGCCCCTTTATGCAATGCAAACCTAACGTTATGATAATGCACTACGGACGCAAACAAAATTTGTAATTGTGAGATTTCACATCGGTTGGAGAGAAGAACGAAGCATTGTTATAAGTAAGTTTGAGTTGTTACAAATGGTATTAGAGTATTACTGGACGGTATGCCAACGAGGACGCTGGATCCTTAAGGGGGTGAATTGTGAGATTTGACATCAGTCAGAGAGGAGAAATAAGTATTCCTTATATGGGTGTGGAAACATTTCCCAAACGCGTTTTAAAATTTTGAGGGTGACGACGATACGTAAAGGGCGAGAGTAGACAATATCTGCTAGCGGTGGATTTCAACGGTTAAAAATGGTATTAGAGTTGGACATCAGGCAATGTGCCAACGAGGTAGCTGAGTCCCTAAAGGGGATAGATTTTGAGATTTCACATCGATTAGAGAGGAGAACAAAGCATTTCTTATAAGGGTGCATTTTTTTTAGAACTGTGAGGTGGAAAAGAACGAAACATTTCTTATAAGAATGTGAAAATCTTTCTTTAACAGACATGTTTTAAAATTGTGAGCCTGACAGTAATACGTAACAGGCCAAAGTGGACAATATCTACAAGCGCGGTGGGTTTGAGCTGTTATTATAAGGATGAGAGCGATTAAATGAATCGTAACGAAAATGGGTAGCTATGTGAAAAGGATAAGAAGAAAGAAAGAAAGACGATTGAATGGAACGTTTAAACTTATGATTGTAAATCAATCAAACACACTAGCTACAACCACTAAAAACACCTATGAAGGTTTGGTTTTAAAAATTATATTGACATTTTTGGACTAGATGACGAAGAATTTAGATCACCTAACTTTTAACACAAATCAATATATGAATAGTATTGTTAAACATGAGTTTCAAACACAAATATATCCAATCATTCATTCCCATTCCACCCTTTTTGAAGTTTCAAATGAATTATTTAAGTAGGGTGGATTAGATATGGAACTTTGGAATCAGTGCTCTTGACTTGGATGCACATAAACAATAAATCCATCTGCCATATTTTGTTGATTGAGTTCATAAAAAATAGACTATTCTTTGAAAGCTTTTGGTGATCTTTTCAACCATTCATAATTGCATGTGAAAAGCAAGGATTGTGCAAGATTATTGAGGAAAATTAAGAAGCCTAAGCCACACTATTTGCATAGTTATTTGACCAAACTAGATTGAAATCTTCAAATGAGAATACAAATTGAACGCCTTTGTTAAACTTCAAAGCCACTTCTAGCATAAATTATTGGTTGGGACCCGTTACGAATTGTCGTTAGTCTCACAATTTTTAAAACTCGTCTGTTAAGGAAAGATTTCCACACACTTAAAAGAAATGTTTCATTCGCCTCCACCTCATAGTTTTAAAACGCATATGTTAGGAAAATGTTTCCACATCGTTATAACAAATGCAAATCTATCCCCTTTAGGGACCTAGCGTCCTCGTTGGCATACCGCCTGATGTTCGGCTCTAATACCATTTGTAACACTCGAAACCCACAATTAGCAGATATTGTCCACTTTCGCCCATTATATCGCCTTAGTCTCGGAGTTTTAAAATGCGTTTATTAGGGAAATGTTTCCACAACCATATAAGAAATGGTTCGTTCCCCTCTCCAACCGATGTGAGATCTCACAATTACATACTTTGTTTTCGTAGTGCATTATCATAACGTTAGGTTTGCATTGCATAAAGCGGCAAAATTGTTATTCACACCTAACTACCCTCATATTCCCTTATTTTCGTGCGACATGATCAAGTCACCCAACATATACTTACATTAAGCAAAACACACTTCACTTTGAAGTTTTTATGATTGAGCTATCGAAAAGCTCATTCTTCTGGTTGGTCAAATGATTCCACCGTACAAAGTAAAACAAATGAGATTTTGGTAACAACTCTCTTCATTTGGTAACTTTATGGCTGATTAGGTGGCATGAAATAATTATTTTGATTATTACACCCTATTTTGGGAGTTGGTCAAGTAGTTGTTAATATTTTTTTTAAAAGAAGATTTAGAGTACATGTAGTGTTAATTTTAGATCATGTTTATATTTGTTTTTGTTTTATAAATATATTAAAATGTAGGTGCACGTGATAGCTCCAACATTTACGTTGTGATACTCAACGTTGAAAGTTTATATTACTGTCTTTGTCATTTTATCTTAGAAATCTTTGGTAAGATATTGCTTTGGTTGAGTTGCTTAAGTTTATTTCAGTTTCTAATTGTCACCTTTTACATTATTGTTGACACGACCATATTATAGAGGAACGTTTGCTATATTTAAAATTAGAAGTTTTTATAAATAAAGAATCGAACAAAAATATATTTTTAAGTGAAGCGATTGTTTTGTCATCTTTTTTAAATCATTTTGAAAAGGTGTTATAGAAAAATGTTTGCTATATTTAAAATTAGAAGCTTTTATGAATAAAGAATTGAAAGAAAAATATATTTTTAATTGAAGTTGATTGTTTTGTCGTATTTTTTAAATCATTTTGAAAGTTTATTTTTTACCAACAATTAAGTTTGGATCGAATCTCTTTCTCTAGTGAGTAGGAGATTTTTGTAAACACGTTGAAGGGCTAATCTTATCTCTACAAGTGACACTAGAGTACACTACTGGTTTGAACACTACATGTGAGGCTTTCTCTCTTTCTTTTGACCGTTAGTCTAAGAAGAATGCGAGAGAAATTTGGTGCTTTTGACAACCTTATCTCTCTCATAATTGCAGTGCCAAGCAACATGTCACCAGAGAGGTATTGCTCGCTTCTAGCTTGCAAATAAAAACTTCATCTTCAACCTTATCTCGAGTAGAGGAGCAGCGCTTCCTAATTCAATTGCTTAGTTCACTTGGCTAGACTAAACCTTCGACACCAGCACGAATGGTATTTTTATTAATTTACCTAAAAACAAAGTCTCGACCCCCATTTCATTTGTTCTTCTTCCCTCGCTCTTAAGCTTCTTCTTGCCTCTCCCAATTTCTCAATTTTCTTTCATTTTCATCCCTAACGCCCCGTCAATTACCATCACACCATTCGGCATTCACTCTCTGCTGCCAGCTTCGACGATGCCGCTATCCACCGAAGCCGGGTTATGCCAATCAACGCCGCTATCCACCATTGGACATTCACTCTCTGCCGCCAGCCACACCGTATCCTTCCTCTTCTTCTTCAGAAATTGATCGTTTCAGGTTCCTTTCTCTTCTCTTTTTAAATTTCATTCATCGCTTCTTCGGGTCCTTTGTTGGGAGAGAGTCTCGGGTTTATAAGTAAAGAATCATCTTCATTGAAATAAGGCCTTTTAGGAAATCCAAAAGTAAAATCACGAGAGTTTATGTTTAAAGTGGATAATATCGTAACATTGTGGAGAGTCGTGATTCCTAACAAAGTATCAGAGTCATGCTCTTAACTTAATCATGTCAATAGAATCCTCAAATGTCGAACAAAGAATTGTGAGCCTTGAAGGTGTAGTCAAAAGTGACTCATCTGTCGAACAAAGAGTGTACTTTGTTCGAGAAAGGAGCCGAGCCTTGGTTGAGGGGAGGCTGTTCGAGGGGTATATAGACCTCAAATGAGGCTCTACAATGTATTTTGTTGGAAGGGAGTCCCACATTGGCTAATTTAGAGGACAATCATGGGTTCACAAGCAAAGAATACATCTCCATTGGAAGAGGCCTTTTGGGGAAGCCCAAAACAAAACCATTAGCACTTATGCTCAAAGTGCACAATATCATATCATTGTAGAGGGTGGATTGAATAATTGAGCTCGAAATTTTGAGCATTGGTTGTGTGAGGGATTAGGAGTTTGAGGGCTCTTAGTTGAGCCATAGGCATGTGCAAAAGAGTGATGAAATTAGCAGTAGGATGAACTAGAGAGGGAGCTAAAATAGCAGGACAACAAATATTACGTGTGGAAGTCCAATCTTGAAGAAGTAATTTGTGGATTTGATAATGTGGCTGAGGTATCATGTGTAGTAGATCAGATTCTCTTACTAAATTAGTTTGAATCTACAGGTTTCTAGATTTAAGGGGAGATAGGTAAAGAGTTTTTTTTTTTTTTTTAGAGACAATTTTATTGATGAGTGAAATTTACGAGAGGGATGTATAATATTAGACGGTTTACACTAAGATATAGCTTGGTAAACAACATTTTCGAAAAGTTTTGTATAGGTCTGTGTCTTTTCTGATTTCTTTCTTTCTACTAATTTCAAAAGAAAGTCATGATGAAGTTTTTCTATAATAGGAATTTTGTGTTCTTAAAAGGGTGGTACGTTAAGGTCATATCCAAAAATCTTTTACCTCCCTAAGAATGTGAGATGTCATCCGAATATATTGAGAATCGCTGTCCAAAAATTTTGAGCGTATGTGCATTGCATAAACAAGTGACTTTGTGATTCGTTTTCTTTTTTGCATAATAGACACCAATTTGGAGAGAGAGTGATGTAAGGTGTTATTTTTTGAAGATTTTCACTGGATGGCTTAATGCGATATTTCCCAAAGAAGAATTTCACCTTTTTAGGTTGATGTCCTTTTCATATTGTCTTTGCTAGCGTGGGATTTATTGTTTCTACTTTTTCTCCCAGTTCATCATCAAGGATTTTGTAGAAAATACCCCATCAGCACTCAGGAGCCAAGTTAGTGAGTCTTCTTTATTTGACAATACCACAAGGGCAAGGTCAAGGCTTAATTCGGCCCACTCCATTGCTTCATTGTCCTTTAAATTCCTACCAAGGTTCAGGTCCCAAAATTTGTTGATAACATTTCACGTTTCTTTAATCGTGGCTTTTTTGCTATGAGAGAGCCG